GTTGCCAGTGGCCCTCAGAGGCTTGATGCTAAGCTCCGCCTTCACTCCACGGAGCCGTGGTCCGGGTCTCGGGTCCTACTCACCGGCTACACAGTAGCTCGCCTCGAGCACCTCAGTGCTGAACAGAGAGAGCGACTCTCTGACTTAGGCTTTGTGCTCCCCCCACCAAGGGATCCTTCATCCGCCAAGGTGGATTCGGCCAAGCAGGGATACCCCATCCAGCTATGCAAGGTTGAGGCCAATCCCATCCCAATCCCTAGGACTTGGAGGGGACAGTTTGAGTTCGCCTTAGTTCCCGAGGATCGCTTCAGGGAATACTACCGACACCCCGAGGGCCCTGACCGAAGGGAGCGATGGAGCGCAGCTGTTGAAGGATACGGGCCCTACCGAGGTGGCGCTATCTTGGAAGCCAACTGCCAGACCATGTTTACTGAGTCTGAAACTCATGAAAGGGTCACAGTTGCAGCGGTCGTGAGCGGTGTTCTTCAACGTGGGATCCANNGTAATGAGGGAATGTCTGGACTTCCTGCGGCCCACTGAGGAGCCTCAGGGATACGAGCGGACAAGGTCCCTGATTGGGCAAGTTCTTGAGCTGAATGGAGCCGAGTTCGGAATCCGGGATTACCGGATAGGTTTCAGGTTTAGGCGCACGGTTGAAGACGTAGATAGCAGAGGAGCCTACCTGGGCGACCAGTTCTTCATGGTGTCCTGCCATGTCGAACCTACCAACAACGAGCCCTCCGTAGCAGACCTCGAACGCTACTCCAATGTCTTCCATTATGCCGACCACAGGCACCGAGCGTGCTACGAGGGAGAGCTTTCCGAATGGTACCTCCCTTCCCAATCTCTCCTCCATCAAGTGGTTGAACCGACCCTCTCGGAGCTTCAAATGCGTTTGGAATCGCTAAATCCGAACCCACCTGATGGGGGCGATTCAGGGGCTCATCAGGCTTCCAGTTCTGATGGGGGGCCCGCAGTTCGGGCTTTGAGAGCCCATGCCAACGCCGAGGACTCGAGCTTCTCCGAAGGATCT